GCGTGAGGGGCGCAATGGCTGTAGAGCAGGGGGGCTGGGGCTGGAGACTACACGGGAGAAGGCCGACTCCGGGAGAGGGACGACTCCAGGAGAGGGCCGACTCCGGGAGGGGGGCGACTCCGGGAGAGGGGCGACTCCGGGAGCACAGGTAGCAGGTGCCTCGGGAAATAATGATGGCGGCTATGGCAGCAGTGACGGTTGTGTGCAGGTGCCCACACTTTCCCAAACTGCTCTTGATGACACCTTCAACAGTCCGCAGAAGCAGAGCATGACATCCCTTTTTATTTTTCAAAGATACTCCCACAGCCAGTTCTTCTCACCAGCGTGTCCTCTCCTCAGTCTGGAGAAGCTCCTCTCTGTCTGCCCCTATCTCTCTCTCTCTTCCCCCCACATTGCCCTGCACCAAAAGTTCAAAGTCGAGATGAGCCTGAGAGCCGCTCCTTGATTGGTCCCTTTCAGATTCGGCACCTGCCAATCAAAGGACAGCCATCACCTTGGTAATAACAGTGGTCATTTGATGGGAAATTTGGCTACTGAAGCCTCAAGACGAGGACATGCTAAGTGAGGATGCTGGCGGAGGAGCCGGGAGGGTAGAGAGACATGCCATGCCAGTTGTCCAGGAGCAGTGCGGACCCCAAAACGGCTGCGCAAACAAACCCTCTTCTCCGTGGCCCAAGCAAATCAGAAATGAGTACCTTTGTGGAGACACCCTCCCTCCCTCGCCCCCCATTATTCCAACCATTGAAACCTGCTGTTATCTTTGCTCCCACGGTGGCAGATGAAGGCGAGGCTGGAAAGCAAGCTGGCCTGGCCAGTGCACGGAGACCCAGGCTTCGTCCCAGCTTGTACCTGCAAATGTGCTGTGTGGCACGGGTCCCCGGGGGCCCAGGGATTCAACTTCCCTCTGGAAGCAGGAACAGGACAGTCACCACAGGCAGGGAATGCAGCTGGCGACCAGGCGAGCACAGTGCCCTGTCTTTCCTGCCATCCCTCTGCTGTCCCTTAACATGGAGGAAGCCACCATGGCAAGGCTGTGAGAGACCCACTCGGGGCAGAGGACTGCCCAGGCCTCTGCTGCCCCCTGTAGGGGACTCCTGGGAAGTCAGGGAGCTAGAATCTGGGCCCACTCCCACCCCATCCCTGCCCGGCTCTCACCCACCCAGGACCTTCTGACCTGGACTGTGCTCACTTCTAGTCCCCAAGTCCTAGCTGGGTCCCCCAGAAGCAAGCCTGCGTGTCTTTCAGAGTGTCCAGGAGGCAATCTGGCCTTTGTTCTTTTACATTTAAATCTGTTTGCACCTAACGTAGACTTTTTTTTTTTTTTGGCTTTGCTTTTGTTTTTGGAGAAAAAGCAAAACAAAGCAATAGAATCTCTAAAAAGCATAATTTCCCTTTTGAGGATTTTCCCATCACCAGTCTGCTCCTACTCACTTGCTGGATGTCCATTGAAGGCATTGTCTGCTCACCAGCAATGCCGCTGGCCCGGAAGTGAGCATTTCAGGCCACGCGCTGGAGCTGGTGCCTTTGCCCTGCGCCATCCTGCATTCCTTGTGCAGACAAAACTGCCCTAGAAGTCTGGGAGGCTTGTGCTTGCGTGAAGATTCCCAATTCAGGCTCGTGGAATGTCACTAACCTGGACCTGGCCGGCTGCCCAGAGCAGCCATAGACAAACTTGGTATTAACAGCTCTCCCAACCCCGCTAAGTGTCCGGAGCCTTGGCCTTGTGTTTATAATGCTTCTCCTTAAGGGTATTAAAACGAAATGGTCCAAAGCCAAGTACATGTCAGTGTAAACCTTTTTGTGCTGCAGGGCCCGCTCAGTGCCGGCAGCCTTGTTTGGAAGTGGCCCCATGCGGTCCCAGGCGCCAGCAGGCTAAGGAGGTTCTTCTGGGTCCCAAGACAGCAGAGCAAATGGTGCCTGCCCCTGGTTTAGCCCAGGGACAGGGATTCCTGAGTAACCTGGTCCCCTACGTACAATTCCTTATTTCCAAATACATGTATTTCCCAGCTCCCGCTGGTCCTGGCCTCCCCCTGTGTTTTGCATGGGTAGAAATTAAAATGTTTCGGAAGCTTTTTCTTCTGTAAAGTAACCGCCTGGGTAGGTCTCGTTGACCTTCCACGCTCCCCCTTTTCCTCAACTCTTCCTCCTGGGTCCTGCTTGCTCTGCTTGGCTTGGGCCCACCCCACCCCTCCTCCACAGCGGTTACCTGCCATGATGCCCCTGAACCCCGAGTGTCCTGAGAGACTGCAAGTCAGACAGCCCCAGGTATTTGTAGCTGTTGGAGCCCAGAGGCTCCTGCCAGGTAACATGGCACCCGGGAGCCTTCACCTTCCTGGTGGCCCTCCTTAGCTGTCTCTTCCAAGCCTTCACCTGAGGCCTCCGTGGCGGAGCTGTGGTGTGGTATAGCCTGCTGGTGGAAATTGAGAGACGCCCCCACTGGTGACTGTCTGTGTCCCTTCTTCGTCCTGATGTTGCTCCTCTTGGTCTCCTCCTCCTCCTCAGCCTGCCCATACCCTGGTGCCCTGTGGGCTCTGAGAGAACGAACCTTCTTCACCCCCAACCCTCACTCGGGGCTCATCGCTGATCGGAATGCCTGGCCAGCCTTGCACTTGCCTGCCTGTGAGCGACTCAAGTGGCTTTCTTTCCACACCTGAGCCCCCTGGGAAGCAGGGAAGAAATGGGTGAGACCAAGAGAAGGAAACAAAGCTTCTTACAGGGTTGTTTGTTTGTTTGTTTGTTTGTTTGTTTGTTTTGCTAGCACCAGAAGGATTCCCCTCTCAGAAACTTCTGGAAGTTATCCTCACATCTAAAGAACTAGAGTACAAGGTCATTCAGCAAACTACAGGCAACCCAAAGCTTTAGAATGGAGACCATGTACTGCCCCCCTCCCATACCCGCCATCCAGAAAGGTGGTCGGTCACACCATGAATGTCACATCCCCAGCGTTAGTGGTACAAGTAACTCAAGCCCAGAGCACAGGTAGGGGCTGTTCACTCACCAGCTCTTGGGGCCAGCAGAAGAAAAGAGGGTCCTGTCACTTAGCCTAAGCCTGAGTTGCTGGGCCTTTTTCCTAGAGAACGACCCAGGGGCAGGGCAGAAACCTCAGGAACCCTACCTGGCCAGGTGCCTGCCTTCCTGTGTGTCTAGAGTGAGGCCCGTTCCCTCTTTGTGCCATTTCTGGGCTGGATGAAGTACGCAGCATGTGATAGTCAATTTCCCAAGGGCTGGGTCATCCTTTTAGATGTCAACATGTAAGTTCTATTCAGAACTTCTCAGAAAAGCGATGTTATTTATACCCGGATGCTTTTGAAAAGGAGTTTTAAGGCATCTCTTTGGAGAACACATAGCCTTCCCTAAACTTAGGGACTGGAGGTCTAAGGTTGCACAATGTTTGACCTCTGCCTGTGTGGCCCTCATGGGACTCTACATGGGCAGGGGGAAGGAAAGGGGGAGTCTGGACTGCTCTGAGTAGTGAGGACCCCAAGGCAAGCAGATCCCACAGTGTCTGAGCCCCTTGTGAATCCCTGTGAGGACTCTTGGCACCTTTATGCCCTGCAAGCTTCTTCTGGCACGGCGCCAATTCAGCCACCATGCTTTCTGATAGGTACCTGCCCCCAGCAACACCTATGAGCGTCCTCGGATCTTATAGTAAGTTCAACAGCTCAGCTACCCACCATGTGGGGTCAGATGTGTGGGAAAAGTAAGGAGTGAGTCTCCAGGCCTCCCCTATGGCCCCTACAGGCTCAGGGGTAGCCGCACCCACGATGGTCTAAATGCTTTCATCAGTTTTTGGGGTGAAGATCAGGCTAGGACTCCTCTTTTTCAATCCCTTGGAGTCCTTAAAGCCTTTGCAGTTAGTATAAAGACTATTTCCTGACACTGTTACAAAAGATAATTGCCACATTGTCCCTGGAACCCTCCCACAGAATGAGGCTGTCCTTGCCACCCCGTCTCCTGTCTCAGAACAGCCTCGGAAGATGAAGCCTAGGTGGACTGGAATTTATTTTAGTTAGAAGTTCCTGACCAGGGCCAGAGAAATGGCTTGGGGGAAGAGCGCTGACCACCGAGCCTGATTACCTGAGTTTGATCAGAGGGGAACGGGGCTGACCACCGATCTTCTTATCTGAGTTTGATCGCAGGGACCCAAATGGTAGACGGGCAGAACCAACTCTTACAAGTTGTTCTCTGTCACAGTTGCGCTGTGGCACATATACCCACGTACACATAAATGTTCCCTACACACACACACACACACACACACAGAGAGAGAGAGAGAGGGAGAGAGAGAGAGGGAGAGAGAGAGATGGAGAGAGAGGTTTTGTTTGTTTGTTTGTTTTAAGCTTCCTGGCATCCAGTGGGCCTCTCTGCAGCCCTCCAATCTCTGGCTCTTTGAACAAAGTTTTCTCTTCCTTTGCCTGTGTGTGAGCCTCTCCTTGCAAGTCTGGCTTCAAGTCCCCAGATGGAGCTATCTGTAGAGACGGTTAAAGGATCCGTCCACAGCGTCACTCCCTCCCCCTGCTAGAACTCACAGACAAGCCAACCCCTCAGCTGGGGCGGGAATGGGAGGAGATTTATGGTCCTGGCTCACCTCTGCCATCAGGGCTCAGATTTACCGGCTGAGTCACGCACCCATGTTTCAGAGAATGACTTCATCTTTGCCCAGGCTACCGGCATCAGGTTGCAGAGGATTCTAGAAGTGCTTTTTAAAGTTAAGGACGGCCATATGCTAGTACATCGAGCTGCTTGTTCAGCTCTCTGCGAAGCCATGCCCAGCTTCGGAACACAGGAACATGCCGGGAGAAGACTTCCTGTCCAGAGGCCGTGGCTTCCTGTCTCTCCGGAAAAGCTCTTGTCCCTTGTTCCAGATGAGTCTGGGGTGCCTATCCTCTCTGTCCCCGTCCCGTCCCCGGAAAACAATCTCTGTCAGGACATGGCTCCTCTGCAGTGGACCAGCATGCACTTTGCTCTCTCCTCAAAGACCAGCCATGTAACCATGGTTCGCAGTTCATCTAGGTCTTAGAGAGGACAGAGAAGTCAGGGTCTTGCAATAAAAGAGTTTTCCTTTATTCCAGATAAAGATAAAATGACTTTAGACTTACAGACAGGGAGATTATCACTGTCAATGCTTGGGATCTCCCTTTGTCTCTGTGTTCCAGAACGCCCTGTGAAACAAGGGTCCTGACATGTCATTACAGATGTGGTCATTACAGATGTGGTCAGCTCACCTGCGACAGCTGCCAGCAGGGACGTTCTGTTTCCTAGCTTTACTTTTCTTCTTTGACTAGAGACCTTCCAGGAACAGACTGAGGGCAGGGTCGCTGTCCTGCACCACTAGACCTGCCCATCTGTAGCTGGAGTTTTCTCCAGTCCCGCCCAGCCCCACAGACGCTGCAGCCACTTATAAAATAATCACTCAGATGCTTATATTAATTAAAGCTGCTCAGCCATTAGCTCAGGCTAACTATTGACTAGCTCTTACACTTAAATTAACCCATAGTTCTTATTTATGTTTAGCCACGTGGTTTGGTATCTTTTCTCAGTTCTGCCTTCACATCTTGCTTCCTCTGTGTCTGGCTGGCGACTCCTGACTCAGCCTTCCTCCTTCCCAGAATTCTCCTCTCGGCTTGTCCCACCTATACTATACTTCCTGCCTGGCTACTGGCCAATCAGCGTTTTATTTATCAACCAATCAGAGCAACACATTCGCAGCATACAGAACATCTCACAGCACCCATCCAACCTCAGAGGGCTGGCCTACAGTCTTCTGTTGGTTTCCAAGTAGCAAGAAAATAAAAATATCAAGTGCCCTCCACTCCAGAAACCCAGTCACATTAAACTTGGAATGTTCCGTGTGACGCTTTTACCTATAAAATAAACGCTGCACCACCCCCAGCACCGTCGTCAATTATCAGAGTGAGTCAGTGTTGATACTTCTCGTCTGAAGGATCAACAATGAAGAAAGAGTTGACATTTTCCACGTGGGAGAACTTCTTTCCGTAGAACTTGGATACTACCACAGGAATGCTCCTGCTGGTCTGGGAGAAAGTCGGGGATGTCCAGTTCAGTTACTGTTGATCCACTTAAAGAGCCTGGGATGGGGACATGCCCAGGCGACAGGGGCAGGAACCCTGCTCCTGCCTAGATCCTCAAGGCGAACCTCGCACATGACCACACAGGACCCAAGTCTTCTGCAGTCCTGTCGATCTGGAAGACACTTTCCCCACGTGTTTGCTTCTACCCTCTCTGAAGATTTCACGGAAGAAAGGCATGTGCTTGGGCCATTTCTCAGCACCCAGAACCCCACTGCAAATCAGCCATGTTCTCAGAGCTCTCATCCTATGCAGGTTTGCTTATCAGCAAATGATCTGAGGCCTCTGTGTCTTCCAATCAACCTGTCCATTTTAATTGTGTATCTGTCTGTCCAATATCCATCTTGGCTGCCTGCTACTTCTGATGCATCTGTTTTTCAGCTAACATGAGAGAAGGCCATAGCTACAACCATGAAAACCAGCATGAGGTGCTTAATAAACGTAAGCCTTTAATTTTAGTGACAGTGTTCACCACTGTGGGGAACCCGGGTCTTGAATAGCCCTTTCCCTCTGGGTGGACAGACGGAAAGCCTCCCTCTGCTCAGACCTGTGCAGTTGTGTTCATTTCTGTCTGTGGAGGCCCTCGATGCCCATATCGGCTCGAGCCACCATAACAAAACACCATAGATTAGGTGACTTAATACTTCGTTTTCCAAAACCCTGGAGATTGGGAAGCCCAAGGTCAAGGCAGGGCTGCCTGCTTCCTGGTCACAGCCAGCTGTGTTTCACTGGCTCTTCACATGGGAGGGAGTCACGGCAGCTGTCCAGGGTCCCACTCATAGAAGCACATGTCCCATTCATGAGGGTTTCCATCCTCACGACACAATCACCTCTAAAGGAGTCTCCCTCGAAATACCACCACCTTAGAGGTTAGAATTTTAACATGAATTTGAGGGGGACCCAACATTTAGAACTCAGCTCTGGCTGTATTTGTTTTCTTTCTCCTGTTTACCCTTTAAAACTCGTTCAATTCCAAACTAGTGTAAAACATGGATCCAAACAATATAAACTTTACAGGTTATATTTTCCACATTAGTTTTCTTCCGTTGCACACAAAAATTGTAGTTGTGGAGCTAGAGATGGCTCAGAGGATGATGTGCTCCATGGGAAAGAATAAGGAACCAGGTTTAGACCTCCAGCACCCACGTAAAAGCCAGGAATGGTGGCCCTCAACCATAACCCCAGCAGTGGGGCCAGCGGATCCTGGGGCTCACTGGCCAGCCAGTCTAGCCAAAATTGGAAAGCTTCATAAGCAGTGAAGACCTTGCCTCAGAGTATTCCAGAAATAATGAAGTGGAGAATGATAGAGGAAGATGCCACAGTCTCAGGCCCTGGCCTCAGTATACACATGGGTATGGATGCCTCCACATACGTACGCACGCACGCACTCACACACGCACACTTCACACATAAACACAAGTATATTCTAGTTATTTAAGTGCCTGTTTATCAGCTCCTGGCTCTGTAGGTCGTGTAGCTGGCAAAGCAGAGCTGACGTCTCTGCTCAGGCTACAAACAAGCAGCCAGCCAGCTCCCTTGTCATCTAGAGCTCTGCCCTCTTCTGGTCTCTTCCCTGTTGTTTAGCAGACTTCAGTTTCTTCCAGCTGAGGGACTGAAGCCCTTGTTTTCTTGTTGGCCGGTGACTCTTCCAGGGCCCTTGTCCATGTCACAGTGGAGAACTTCTTTCCTATCGCTCCGCCCCTCTGAAGCTTCTGAGATGGTCCACTCTCTGCCACTGTGACTAATTCCTGAGATAGACAGCTTACCGGGAGGAAATGTTAATTTGGCCCGTGGTTCAGAAGTCTCCATTAGTGTTGTTTTGGGCCTGCAGGCGGCTGAACACCATGACAGAGAAAATTGCTCACCACGTAGCAGCCAGGAAGAAAGGAGAGAGAAAAGAGAGGAGCCAGGGTCTCAATACTATCTTCAAGTGCACGCCCTCAGTAGCCTAATTTCTTCCCTAGGCTCCCATCTCTTAAAGGTCCCCCACCTTCTAATAGCTCCACAAAAGGAAAGCATGCCTTTAGCATATGAGCCAGGTGTGGTGGCGCACACCTTTAATCCCAGCACTCTAGAGGCAGAGACAGGTGGATCTTTGTGAGTTCGAGGACAGCCAGGACTACACAGAGAGACACCCTGTCTCAAAAACCAAAGCAACAATGGCAAAAGCCACTGTAATCAAGTTGGGCCCAAGGGATGATCTCAATCTCTAAAGCCAGCAGAGACCTGTGATCTCACGTCACAAGCCTTTGTGCAGAGCACTTGGCCTTGGGGCTTCCTGAGTTGATTCTTTTCCTTTCACTGTTAAACTTCAGTTCCCTGTTTGCCACAGTTTGGCTACCTGTCTCCTCCCAAGGTTCCCCGGGTCAAAGCTGTGGCCCGCAGCCTGTGACACTGTTGACAGGTGGCAGAACCTCTAGGCAGTGACCCTGGGAACCCAGCTCGTCCCTGACTCTCGTCACTTCTAGTTACCATGACACGTTTACCATTGCCCGTCACATCACCAGAAGCAGCAGAGCCACCCGGTCACAGGCTGAAACCCCCCAAAGTGTGAGCACCGTTAACCTTCCCTCAGTGTGTGCTGATTTATCTCAGGTATTTGTTATAACAACAGAGGGCTGTGCGTAGTCACAGCTCTGCTTTTCATCCCCTTTTCATTTCCCATGGCTGCGGCCTTCCTTCTCTCACCCATTTATGTAAAGCTATTTTTGCTTTATTCATCAGCGTGCTTAAGAGTTTAGAATGGTTGTGGTTCTTCTTCAGTAGACTATCAGCCAGATTGTCCAGGTTTTGTTTGGTTGTTACGTGTGTGTTATAGAGATATATAACAAGATTACAGTTAGAGTCCATAAAATATATGAATTGTGAGCAGTGACTGATTTCTAGGCAGAGATAATCATCTATCAACATGAAACTACCCTAGTGTGTTCAGGCCTGGGATAGTCCTCTGCCCCCCAGAACACTTTCTATATCACCAAGAACACTAAAATGTCTGAAAAATAAGAAAAGTAAATTGCCGTATCCTTCTGAGGTGAAAATAGTTTCTGCTAAAACGAGCAGGTTAACGACCACAGGAGAGTCTCTTGAGATGGCTTCTCCTACCAAATGCTTATTTTTAAACGTTTAACCATCACTAAAAGCATATTTGCTCCATCTCTGCTTCGGATCTTCAAGCTATTTTCAAAATTGTTATTCTATGCTCTTTTCAGATGTGGCCGAGCAGTATTTTCAGGAAAGCATGACTCATATGAAGGATTCCGAAGGAGCAGGAAGAACCAAGTTCCTTTCGATTCAAGATGAATTTTGCAATTTTCTGCAAATCACTGGACAAAAAGAAGTGAGTTGAGTTTAGATCACAATTGTCAAGCTATTCATAGGGGATGCCAAAGACGACTCCTTCAGTCTTCAAGCATCTATTAAGCACCTAGTGTGCCCAGGGCATGTCCTAGCCTCTGGAGGGACCCAGATAAATAAATCAAGGAACCATTCACAGGCAATTTCTCTTAGAAACAAAGCTGTGAGAAAGTAAGTGCTACGTCCAACTAGAAAAGATCACTAAGGACTGAAAACTTTGAGAACTCAGCGGGCAAAGCCCTACTCACTGCAGCCCGTGGATCTAGCCAGGATGGTGTGTGGCAGTCAGTATGGCCAATTCCTTTCTTCTTCTTTGGGGTATTGAATGGAATGTTCATATCTAATGAAAGCCATACAGCACAGAGGTTTCAGCTCAGTCTCTTTACTGATGGTCCCTAAAGGCATGCTCGAGGTGGTTTAAAAAAAATGGAACCACGGGGGCTGGAGAGCTGGCTCAGTGGTTAAGAGCACTGACTGCTCTTCTGGAGGACCTAGGTTCGATTCCCTGCACCCACATGGTGGCTCACAACTGTCTATAACTCCAGTTTGAGGGGACCTGACACCCATGTGCAAAACACCAATGCACATAAAATTTAAAAAATTAAATTAATTTTAAAAAAAAAGAAAGAAAAGTAGAACAAAA